CTGGTCACTGTAGTCCTCTGGGAATTGCCTCCGCACCTCAGGATCTGTAAATAATTGACAGATAATATTAATTGGCTTTGGATTAGTGAGCAAGCAGAGAATCACACATTAATATTTGATCAGAAGATGATAGCAACCCTGGCAGGGGATCCAAGGAGGGCAGCTGAGGCTGCTGTGTTGATAAGAGAGGGAAGGACTTCTCAAGGCTCTCCCTTTACCCTCCTCCAGAAAGGGGGGAAAAAAAAAGAGAGAGAGAAAAAAAAGTATATAAAACGTACACACGTAAGTACAAAATAAAGGAAATTATAAATATATGTGTGCACATATACCTACATATGTTTTAATTTATAATAAATGACCTGGTGACACACTGAACCTTAGGCTGTTACTTTGTGGAATATCTTTCTGGCTGCAATGTGCCACCAACACGTGTCACCAGAAAGCACTTCCCAAATGCATTGTGACTTTTGGTTTTCCATCACATAACTAGTTTTGCCAGCTACAGACACTGTGGTCATTAATATCCATGGACTGTTTTCAGCGATACTAGATGACAAAAGCTCGCAAAATTCAAACCAATGTTGATAGAAAAGGCAAGCTCCTTAGAAAAACAGAAATTTGAAAGAGCTAAAGTAGCCCTGAACTTCTCTAGCATCAGTAAAATAAACAAGTTAAATGTTTCAGATCAGTAAGACTGACAAAACATTTTTATTCCTTTGGCCTGTCAGAATGAATAATACGGTGGTATTCCCTCAGAAATTATGTTAAAATTAATTAGGTATATTCAGAAAACAACAAAATATCATAGTTGAGATAATAGGACTCTTCAAAGACATCCATTTTTCTAAGGAATATGGATGAGATGGTCAGATTCCATGTTACAAGAATATTTTTCATTTATTATAAAAAAGTCTGCAATAAACAGTTCACAATAAAATATAATACATAGAAGAAACCCAAGGAGTATCCATCATCACTGTGAACACTCGTTCCTCCGCGATCAGTCTCTGTTGTTTGAAGCTTGGCACACTGGATGCATTATTACCAGATGCTTGACTTTTTATACAATGTTTCCACAAATTTAGACCATTATGTACCTAGTGAAATTGCATAACAATCTTTACTGCTCAATTATTGTTATACTGCACTGTAGCTGAGGCTTGAGGGGAAGAGAATCATTTTATGACATATACACCAGATACTGTTGTTTGCGACTAGTCCCACCCTAGATTTCTTATTGGCAACATTTATTTTGGTAATAAATTAGCTGATTGGTGATTCAATTGGTAACAGATGTAAACATTTTAAGGAGTATTCGTTTTAAATTAGAAATACAAGATTGTACTTTAACAACTTCTTAGCTTCATTTTTCAACACAATCAGATGTTTAACGTTTCGCTGTTACATATATACAAATATACATAAATATAGAAAATTTTATATATAAATCTATATAAGAGATGTCTTTAAAGCTTTATTTTGAAAATTCTTATATCTGCGACCACACAAACCTATGTGAAGAGCTGGGCTGCCGCACGCTGCCCTACGGCTACGCAGGCGTCTCCAGCAGCAGCTACCAGGACAAACCTGCTTCGTGTTGCACCAGAGCGAGCGCAATGCTAGCAGGAGGCTGGAGCTAGGAACAGGTATTATGGCGCATAATTTATTTATTTATTAGAATGTATCATTTGTGTGCACACATGCACGTGTTCCTCAGCATCTCGAATGCCCCGTGTGCCAAGGCCCCCACAACGCTGCTCCCAGCGCTTTGCAAACCCCGAGGCGGACGCGGCTCTAGATCCCCACGCAGGAGGTTGTGCCCCAGCCTGCAGGACACCGTGAGATTTGTGGGGAAGCGCAGTTAGCTCATAAATAAATACGTGCTGCTGCTTTCCTCATTTCAGAAGCCACCTCACAAACCAGTCTCCCAATCTCACCTACGCAAACCAAAACACCACTAAAATAGTAACTTCAAAAATCACAGCCAAGGATGTTTTTGTTTGGCTTGTCTGGCTTTGTTGTAATTTTAGCTTTTTGTACAACAATTCGGATTTTTTTCCCCACTTAGGAACACTCGTTCCAACAGCAAATTGGCGGAACTCGCACTATTCCAGCCCAACGCTCAGCACTTCCCACACGACAGCTTGGAAAAGGACAGGACTGGTCGGAGTCTGCGCGGGTCAGGGTCTCGTTCCAGAAGGAGCGCGTGCTCCTCCCCAGCACACACAGGAGCACACACACTGCTCGGGATGGTAATAAACTGTATTGTCTTTACCAGAGATAAAACTTGTGCCAGTCAACTGTACAGCATGCACAATTTACTTGCCTGAAATCAAATTTGAAGTTACAGTCACAGTGCTTTATATTTTACATTGCGTCAGCTCTATCACCTTGACTTTTAAATAGCCTGAGAATGTTTATTAAGCATCCTGTATCTTTATTTGGAAAACACTACACAATGGAAAAGAGAGCATATCACATTTATTACAGCCTTCATAGTCATATATTATTCACTGTTAAAACGTTTATTTGAATAGTGTTTTCAACTACGTTTACATACATATATATCACCTCCCACGAGGTGCCCCGAGCACGGGCTGACCCAGCCCCCGGCTCCTCTCTCTCTTTGCCCGGGATTTTGCACGTTTCCAGACACAAACTATCACAGGATCCACATAGCTCCTGCCTAGACAAGCGCTTATAAACCTCTCCCAGAAACACCTGTATATGAGCAGCTGTATAATAGAGCTCTATAACAGAATATACTGAACTAGAGAGGCTGCAAAGCAAGAAGTATTGCAATAACACCATTCCAAAACCAAGGCTACAATGGTGGTCTTATCTGAAATCTCCCTCTTCTCACAGAGGAATACACGTGTCATTTCAGGCTAGAACTGCTGGCATTAAAGGAAGTCATCTTTATTTTATCCTAATGTTCACATTCGGCTTTAAAAGCTTTTACTCCAATAGCACACCATACACATTTCCTAAAATTCACGGCTGGCTTCAGGTCAGAGTGATTCACTTACCAGCCTGGTGCACGTCATCGCAAGCCCTTTTCCAGAGGATGCTGCTCCGCACAGGGTAGTAGCTGCTGCCTGTAAAGCACAGGTTGCCTGAAGAGCTGGAGATCCACTATCCTTATTGCTCACAACAGATGCCCTGGCCTAGGGTATTTTCAGTTAGAAAGGAAAAAAAAAAAAAAAAGGAAAGAAAGAAAGAAAAGCGCCACACATACGAAAGAGATCACTTGCTAGTTTCTGAAGCAGTTTCCTTTACCACTATTTTAAGAGGTGGTATTGAGAGAAACAGTAACAGAGAGCAGCTGGACCACTTCTCACATGAAGTTTTTGCAAGTGCTCCTTTTTTATATATATTTTAAAGAAGGGGAGGAGGAAAAAATGCTTTTCTCTGTGATGAAAGAGTAAGACTTTGCTGCTCTCTCACAGCAGCATTCTGCTTCTTCACCGCGTGCTTACAGAAGATCAACACTAGTGGATAACATCTGCCAGTGATTCCAAAACGCTCAAATACACTTCTCCCTGCTAATACATTTAACTTGCCCCAACAAGTAGAGATTCTGCTTCATATTTATGAACACACCTGCAGCATTGTACACGAGATTCAAACACACACACGCTATTATTGGTAGTGATTAATAGTAAAAATATAGAACTGCTGAGAAGTCCTAAAAACTATTAGTGCTTTTCCTTATAGCATCTTGCTCAACAAAAAGACAAATGCAGAAGAATATCAAAATTAGCTGTGAACTGTATAATCCTATTGCTCAATTTCATGGCATTTAAGACACTACCTTCCCCTCCTCACAATTCTGGATGTTAATCCACGCTGTAACCTGATTTAATTTTCCAGATGACAGGATGGGAATATGCTACAATGGCACGTCAGGGAAGCCCGCTCCTCTTTCACTCGACTTTCCTTACGTCACGGAGAGCTCTGCTCCTTAAAGAGGCTGGACGCGGGCAATCTCAAACTGCTCTGCCTTGGAATGACACGGGAACTATGAAACCAAGAAAGCTATTTAAAGAAAAAAGAATCAAAAAATACTGTCCACTGTTACAACATACAAAAATATATTCTGAACTGTGCTGCTTCTGATAGAAGTTAGCCAATATTGGCTACAAATCATCCAAATATACTAATCCCAAACTGAAAAATACAATGATTGATAATTCATTTTTACTTCCTAAATTATGACCTTACATTCTTTAAGGCCTTACAGCGGCAATGTGGTTTTTTTGTCCCTTTGAAATTAAATAGACTTCCATCAAGAGCAATCTCAACTTCAGCACCCATTACAGCTTATAGTCCTTATGCAGCATGACTGAGAAGTAAACTTCTTTCCAAACCTCTGCCAACTCCTTCACGTCCTGTGCTCGGCAGCGCCGCACACTCCTCCCTGCCCCTAAACTGCTGCAGCCTGGGCAGGCAGATAACATCTCCGAGTGCGGGGAGAAGGGGAGGAGGGAAATGTGTGCATGGGGCAGGGGGGAGGTGGAGAAAAAGGCGATAGGGAAAACCCACACATGGGATAAAAGAGCCAGGAAACCCCAGCACAAGTTCAAGCAGAAATTATCTCCCCAAAATGATTTTTTTCCCTTGTACGTGAAACTTTAATGAATAAAAATTGTAAAACTAAAATATTTCTTACTCTAAAGTAATAAAACTGAGAATGCACCCAAGATGCAAAAGAAAATTATCTACGAATGTCTTGCACACTATGATTCTGTTGAAACTATAATGCAATCGAAAATATAGATACTGTCAGAATCAAGATGTTGGCTCTTCCAAAAGAACTTGCAGGTGAAGTTACCCCAAAATATTACTACAGACAATAAGAACACATAACAGGTTCAATATTCAACCAACAGTGCACCTGAGGACAGCGCAATGACAGTATTCATGCAGGTTACCTGCTAAAGTCATCCTCCACGTTTCGGGATGCAGCCTGCGTCTTTGGGACTACTTACGCACAAAGAGCGGACACTAACCTCTTGCTTTTAATTACTCAGGTTTTCATAAG